AAACCCTAAACCCCTAAGTCTAAACCCCTAAACCTTCAACCCCTGAACCCTAAACCCCTACACCCTAAACCTCGAAACCCTCAACCCCTAAACCCTAAACCCCTAAACCCTAAACCGCTACACCCTAAACCCCTACACCCTAAACCCTAAACCCCAACACGCTAACACTCTAACACCCTAAACCCTAAACCCCTAAACTCCTAAACCCTAAATCTAAATCCTACTGCTGGGACCTTGGGGTGCAGATCCCTCCGGTGATCAGAGCTGACAGAGTCCTAAAGGGCCATGGGTGTGGGGTTTAGGGGTTTAGGGGTTTAGGGTTTAGGGTCCTAAACGGCCTTGGGTGTAGATTTTGTGGTTTTATGCTTCCGGGTTCAGGTTTTAGGGATTGGTTTTAAAGGGTGTAGATTTTGTGGTTTTATGCTTCAGGGTTCAGGTTTTAGGGAATGGTTTTGTAAAGCGTTTAGGTCTGAGGCTTCACCATATTGGGTTCAGCTTGTTATAGGTCTAGGTTTAACGGTTTGGTCGTAGAGTTTGGGTTGGGTTTGGGGTGTAGGTTGCGTGAGGGGCTTGGTTAACCAGAAAATCTAAAACTAGACAGGGCTTGAATAGTTAGCGCTGAAATACCTAGTAGTAGAGTTGGTAACATTTAGCCAGTTTGGGTTCTACAATCCCAATGTAGTCTCCGAGTCTAACCTTTGCATCTTTTTGGGACACTGCACAGGCTCTAGAATTCTTAGTCAAAACTTCAAAACAAATATCTCTTCGGCTTAGCCGCAGCTGCGGCAAGAGAGGCTTCGGAATCGGGTGGCGTCTTTCCTGAGGCTACCCTGGCTGAGGTCAAGCGGCTGATCGGGAGTCGTACGACCCGGCGTCATTTCGGCGTTGTCTTTCCGGTCATGCCCCGGGTCGGCCTGAAAGTCACGGAGCTGTGTAGTGACTATGACATGTCTGAAGTCAAGGCCTTGCACAAGCTGCAGGCAAGGAAATTGTGCAGTTTTACGGCAGCTGCGCGGTGGGCAGGGATGCCTATATATTCTTGGCCTTTGCTCCGGAGGTCATCTCGAAGGCCGCAGCTTCTCCCAGCATGGATGCGGCGAGATCGCAGTGCAGCTGCTCCGAGCAGTGCGGAGTCTGCACCACACTGGGATCATACTATAGAGGCCTTGATAATCAGAATAGGGTTTGAGGAGTTTATATTATAGTATGAAAATATAACCCCTAGGAACAATATTGGTAATTATCTAGGCTTCTTCTATATTACATCGAGACACCAAGCCCCACAGCATCACCTGCTGAGTGTTCTGCCTGCAAGTTCTTGATGACAAAGCTCGCGAATGTAGAGTACTTGGAGGTTCAAGGGTAGTTATAAGTAGGGTTCTAAGTCCTTTAATATGGGTTATAACTATAGTTACCCTACTTCTAACCCCACTTATAACTACCCATGAACCTCCAAGTATAGTACAACGGACACCAAAACCCCATTGTCTCATGGCTTGGATGCCATCTTCAAAGTCGAGAGCTTAAGCTCTAGGCCTATGTCGTCTCTCCAACACTCAGAGGCTAACATGCGTTTAAACCTTAAGGCTTAAACCCGAGACGCTAAACCCGAAACCGTTTCAGAAACTTCGCACCAGTTTTGCTGACCTTATCCGGAGAATCCTACTGCATACTTAGGGCGGTTGTTGGGCTCCCTGAATACCGGAGAGTTCCCAAAAGTGTTTAAGGTTTTGAGGTCAGACAGATGGTTCAGTGTTTCCACCCTAAACCCTAAACCCTAACCCCTAAACCCCTAAACCCTAAACCCTAAACTCTAAACCCCACCCCAAAAGCATGTTGAAGCGGTCGAAGAGCCGTTCAAAATTCCGACCCGTAGGTGTGCATGCTGTGCGGCGTGACGGGACATGCCCCTCGGCAGAGGAATAGAGATCCATTGGGATTATTTGTTTTAGGGGTTTAGGGTTTAGGCTTTAGGGGTTTAGGGTTTAGGGGTTTAGGGTTTAGGGGTTTTGGGGTGTGGGGATGCAAAAGACCTCAACCCTAAACCGTCCTGAGATCCTAAGCCCCCACACTGGAAGGCCAAACGCCCGTTGAACTCCGAGCCCTTGGGAAAGGGTAACGCCCGCAGAAGCCCCAAAGGTCCATTTCAGGAATGAAGGGGTTTAGGGGTTTGGGGGTTTAGGGTTTAGGGGGGTTCTTTGAGGATTTGAGGTGTAGGAATCTTTGGGTATAGGGTTTGGGTCGCGTTAGGGTTTTGTTTGAGTCTTGGGGCTGATTCCTTGATTCAGTGCCACTGGGCTCTGAGTGTAGAGCCCTTAAACCTTGTAGAGCCTTCTACAGCTTCTCACCCCGCAAAAGCCTGCGAGACGTCCTGTTGTTGGCAACCAACTCATTCTAAACCCTCAGCACCAAAACCTTAAATCCTAAACCCCTAACCCCTAAACCCCTCAACCCCTAAACCCTAAACCCTGAACCCTAAACCCCCAAAACCAAAACCCCTAAACCCAAAACCCCCAAACCGCTAAGCCCTGAAACCTTGAAGCCGAAATTCGACTCTTCGGTGAGGTGACACTGAAGGGTTCCATGTTCCTGAATGAGCTGAATGGCCGCTCCTTGCTAAAAGGCACCGACTCAAGTCCTACCTACCCGTAGTCTCCATTGTAGTTCCTTGTTTGGGTTTAACCAGTTCTATATTCAGGATCCTATCCCTAAACCTTAAACCCAAAACCCTAAACCCTAAACCCTAAACCCAAAAAGGAACTACAATGGAGACTATAGGTAGGTCTGGTTCAGGGTGTAGTCTGCTGAGATCTATACCTACCTTAACCGACCACCAAAACTTGCTTGTTTGTAGGGTCCCGATAAATTCCATATTCGGGTTTATAATAAGAACCTACAAAAAGTAGGTTTTGGTAGGGTAAGGTACATAGAGATCAGGATATAGGTTTTTTTTTGCTAGGGTAGAGCCTGCCCAGACGTGGTTCAGGGCACATAGGGTCTGGGCCAGCATCTTGATCGTAGCAACCCGGGTGTTCTTTTCTGGCAGTTTTGTGAACCTCACACAGAACAGAGAGATCGGCCAGGGAGTACCGCACGGGTCAACCGCTCATGCAGAGCAATGTTACACAATCGCGTTTTCATTGGGGTATGAGGATCCCGCTGGGGTTTGTCAATCATGTGCATTCTCTAGACGTCGGAATAAAAAGCAATCCTATTTTTTTGCGGCCCCTGCTCAATTGAAGTTTTCTTTTTGGAGACCACCTATGTTGCATTACTTACGAAGTCACCCGGTCCTTCAAGTAGCGCCCAGAAGCCTGACCCAGAGGTCCAGGCAGCCACAGCGTCAGGTATCACACACACACACCATGCTATACTATGCCTGGTTTCTGGCCCCAGAAGCCCCGTCCTGAGTCCTCTGCATGCATCACGAAGCCCTAAACCCCGAATCGCATAAACCATAAACCCTGTAACAAAATCCCTACACCCCACACCCACCACTCGAAACCCCAAACCCCAAAACCCAAGCCTCAAAACCCTAAACCCTAAGTTTTAATCCCTAAACCCTAAACCTGAAGCCCTAAGCCGGAACCCTGAAACCCTAAACGCTTAAACCCTAACCCCTAAACCCTAAACGCACTACAAGAAGTGAGCCATACTGGATGTGAACCTGAGGGGTGAAAATGAGCTTTGTAGTGAGGGGCGATACTGAGTTTGAGTTGAAATACACTGCCTGTATAAGGGTTGTCTTTTGCCATGACTCAAGCAAAATCGCTTGACATGTTTGGGGTGATTCCCCCTTGGTGTACGCCTCGACGAGGCAGGCGTGACGCGC